CCCATCCTCATATATAAATATATTTACATATGTACATGCCTTTATTTAGACCTCTATAAATGCCCTTTGCCTCCTAGCTCTTACCTCTATTTCCTTTGACTTTCCTCTTGTCCCACCATCATGCTCAGTCCTCATTTGGGTTTCAGTAATTCCTCTTTGTTACATTACCCTTGATCATGCCCTACCAGGCCTGCCAGACCCTCCTCACCACCATTTTGGATAACTTGTTGTTCCCTTGTCCCTGGGTTTGTTAACACCACTACCTTTCCCACCACCTCTCTCCCATGTCTGTCCCCAACTGTCCCGTCCCGTTGTTTTCTCCTCCAGATTGTTCATCCAGCCTATCTTATTTAGACAGACATGCAGAGATAATAACATACACAAAAACAAGACAGAGTAAAACCAAGCAACAGTATACAACAAAACAAAAAAAACGAAGCAAAACACAAGAAAGAAAAGCTTGTAGTTAGTTCAAGGACTATTTGTTGCCCTTTAGGGGTAATTTTTTTTTTTAACAAAATAACCTATCACCTTCAAAGTACTCTCCATTACCCTTATTATATTTGTCAAATCTGCAATTCCGTAGAAATTTTTTGCAAATTCATCTGTTTGGATGGCTGACAGCACGTCCCTCATTTTTTTCCTTCCACCTCTTCTGTGTCTTCAAATAGCTGCCCTTTCATGCATGGATCAAGGTCAAGTGAGTAAGTAAGGTGCGTAAAGCAAAAGAGGCATGCTGGTTTTTTGCCAAAAACTGGTGCACTGAGATGGCTGCATGAGGAGGTACATTATTATGGTAGCAAAACCAGGCCCGTCTGCTACAAATCAGGGCTGTTTGGTCATACACTATTATGCAATCTTTTCAGAATCTCTAAATAGAAAGCTTGATTAACAGTCTGACCTGGTGGGATGAAGTCCAAATGCACTATCCCTCTCACATCCAAAAAAAAAAAAAATTGAGCATCATCTTGATCTTTGATTTTACTTGATGAGATTTTTGGGGGGAAGGTAATGATGGCATCTTCCCTGGGCTTGATTGATGTTTGCTTTTGGCGTCATCAGAATAGTATCATGTCTCATCACCAGTAATGACCTTGGGGGGAAAAGTCTGGGTTGCTTTGGAGCTGTTCTTTAAAAGCAGAGCATGCTTCTCATCAACGTTCTTTTTCCTGGTCCGTCAGAACCCAAGGCTTCGCAGCAACCCTTCTCATTCCAAAATCTTCCATTATAATTCGCTGAACCAAGCTCCCAAATAGTCCAGATAACTTCCCATCTCTTCATGGTCCACTGTCTGTCTTCGAGCACAGTGCACAAATTTTGTTGACATTTTTGTGTGTTCGGGAAGTTGATGGACATCCAGAATGAGGTTTGTCATCAATCAACATTTCACCTCTTCTGAAATGAGAAAAACCACTTGTACATTTGAGTTTTTCCCATAGTGCTGTCCTTTATAAGCTGTGTTCAACATCACAACAGTTTCTGCAGCATTTTTCCAGAGCAGGAAACAAAATTTCACAGCCACAAGCTGTTCTCTTAAATGAGCCATCACAAAAAACAAGGTTTGAATGAAACTGCTTTTATGAAAAAATTCATTGTGACCACAGAGACCTTCCTGGGTGCACTAACTCAAAGCGAGTTGCTTGATGCTGCCTAATGGGCAAAATGCATATTATGAAAGTTCCACCTAGTAGAGCCTTCTCCTCCTCTCCCCCAGTACCGCCACTGAGGGTCTTCCCTTTCATCGATCTTCTACCAAATATAATATCCTTTCCTGGGAACTGGTCCCTTTTAAGAACATGAATATCCTTTGATGAAATTTCCAACTAATATTTAGTGAGTGCACTAGAACATGAGCAAATGAAATATTCAATGGACTGGTATATTCATATCTGATACACTAAGGGAAAGTAAAATCACAATTGTTAGGGTTGTATATGCATTTGAAAATGTTTTACCCCATCTCGATTTCATTGCTGATGACATTGTAGAACCTTTGACGAACCAGTTTGAAGTAGTAAACATGTTTAGAGTTTTAATGATCCAGAATATGGATGCAATAATGCTTTCTGTGTTCTTTTGTCTCACGTTGTATAGATTGCCTCCATCTTTGCTTTTGCCACCTGTGGAGGGTTTAAGGGCAAAACAGAAATTCTGGTGCAGTGTACTAAAGCTACTGAAAATAAAACGGTTACAGCTGCTTTTGCATACCCATTCAGGTAAGTTATTTTTCTGGATAAAAAAACTGTTTACTTTTATGCTGACTCATGAAGAATCCTAGTAACCTATTGACCGTGGGACATAACAGGTATTAGATTGAATGTTCATTTGTCTAGGAGCTATGGTGGCACAGTAGTTAAGTGCTCCTACCGAAACGAAAGGTCAGCAGTTTGAACCTATCTTTCTCTGTGGAGAAAGGTGTAGCCATCTGTTTTGATAAAAATTGCAGCCCTGGAAACCCTATGGGGAGGTTCTACTCTGCCTTATAGAGTCCACGTATCAATGATCAGTGCCACTTGAACTATGGCGCACAGAACAGTGATGGAAGTACTGGGAGAGAGAGTAAGCTTTTGGAAGGTTTTAGAGCAATTTGACATTGGCTTGACATTTTTATTGTGACAGGCCACAACGGATTAGAAATTAATAAAATATAGGTGATCGTATATACTCATGTAGAAGCAGAGTCTTTTGGCACATTTTTATGCAGTTTTGTGGTAAAATTAGGTGCCTTGGCTGATATTCGGGTCGGCTTATACTCAAGTATATAAGGTACTCTCTTTTTTTTTCCTCTCTCTCTCTCCTACGGTACTCTCTTAACTTAGTATGAGAAGCCCTGATGTGGAAGTGAGTACAACTTGTAAAAAGCCAGATTCCTCATGTCTTTATGTATGATTGATTGATAATATCTTTTAATATATAGTTTTAAGACATATAAGGAGCTCTGAAAGTACTGTGGATTGGGTGTTGGGCTGCTGCTCACCTAATGATCAGTGGTTCAAACCCACCAGTTGCTCCTAAGGAGAAAGATGAGGCTGGCCCTCCTGTATAGATTTGCACTCACAAAAATATAGTTATTGTGAGTCAGACTAGGCTAGATGTCAGTGAGTTTATTTTTTGGTTTTCTTTAAGACCTATACTTTCAGAAACTGAAGGGTTCTTGTATTTCTTATATTAACATAAACCTTACTTACAAAATGATTATTTTGTGTGTAAATTCTTTCTTCTGCTTGACTTCAGGAATCATTTTGAAAATGTATTGAATATGTCCTGTGTTCTAGCAACAGTGTGAATCTTCTACTTAACTACTTACTTGAGCTGTCTAAAAGTCTCCATTTTTTCTAATAATACCTTTTAAGGTTATTCTGATGATTAAATAAAATATGAAAAATAGCATCTGATAGGAAGCACTTGGTCTTTACTGCTTCTTCATCTTCCACCATTTCTCCCTATTTTACCAGCATCTTTAGTGAATAGTACATTACATTAGTGGATAGGGAGAATTAAAGACTGGGTAAAGGGCTAAGTATGAAATGTTATAATTGGCTCTCCAGGAAAGACGGCTTTCTACTCCTGTGAAATTATAGTCTTAGAACCTCACAGGGGCAGTTCTACCCTGTCCTATAGGGTTGCTAAGAGTCGTCTTTGACTCAATTGCAGTGAGTTTGGGGCTGTCACAGACTGCCTCCTCAAATAGATCACCATGTCTCAAATTATAATCCGTTTGGTTTCAGGTTTCTAAATCTGCTGAAGTATTATCGTAGGAAGACGTTATCTAAATAAGAAAATCCTTGAGTCTACACTCAAATCTATCATAAACCAAATTTTCAAGTATCGCGTATATATATTATTAAAATTTCAGTGTATTTAAATATTTGCATTTTTTCTTTTTGTCCCCCAAAACAAAAGGTTTTGAATATATTGGGAATATTTTTAAATAGCATTTCTGTATTTGTTAAATACTTAAAATATAAATATTTTGGACTTGCTCATCTTTTGAGAGAGTCTAGTAATTCTTTAATTTATTTGAGCTTTTTTTTTTTTTTTCAATAGGTTGAATCATGCATCATTTCAGGTGCCTCCCAAAGTAAATGTGTGTGATATCAAATGGAACGAGTATGTCCTGATAGGAGACTACTCTTCCTCTGCACAATTCTATGTCACATTTGCAGTCTTCGTCTTCCTGTATTGCATTGCTGCTCTTCTGCTCTATGTTGGTTATACAAACCTATATCGAGATAGTCGAAAACTCCCCATGATTGTAAGTAAAGCACCCTGTTGTTATCCAAAATAATTTCAGTATATTTGAGTTTAAATATAATGTTTTACGCTAGAAATAGCATTTGGGGGCAGAGTTTAGTTTGTCATACTTGACTTACATTTGCCATAAAGTTCATCACTCCTGTGAACCATATTTGTACTTTCTGTACTCAAAAAGGATTTACTTTTTATCATTATTTCAAATAGAAGAAAAATAAAATATGTGATGAAGCACATATTGGATTGAAAATAGCAAAGAAATTGGATAGATTTTCTTTAATCTGACTAATGCCTTTGGCTAAAGAATTGTTGACCATACCAGTAATGCCTTAACTGTGCTCCGTATTGAACCTCTTGGTCGCTATCAGAATTAGCAAGCTATGATGGCCGGGCCAAATCTGGACCACTGTCTACTTTTTAAAAATAAAATGTTTTGGGAATACAGCCAGACCCAATCACTGACAAATGCTACCTACAACTGCTTTCACGCTACTCTGGAAAAGTTAAGTTGTGACAAATACCTTCATAATACCCTTCATAGAAAAAGTTTGCTGACTCCTGATCTATGTACTAAAACACCTTAATTTGAAATCTGCCCCAGATAATTCTTATATTCAGAGTAGTGGTATCCGTGAGCTAAATTTAATCTTTATAGTATCAACAGAGAATTTGGATTTGGCTTCAAGTCTATTGAGCTAGAAATCTGAAAAACCTCTACAAGATTTAGGTGGTAGAATTTGCTCCCCATTGTTGGTGACAAATCCTGAGATAAGCCACACTTTTAAACTGAACTTTTCCTACAAAGGAATAACTACAGACTCCATTTTGGTGCTGTTTATATGAATGGAGAATAGAAGTGTTTTTGTGATACTGGCCACTAACCTTTATGAGAAAACAACTAGTGCCTGCTAAATATTTGCAGCTCCTTTCAAGGCTCGGTAGGTGTGAAGGAATTGCCAAATAAGATAACACACTATATTTATTTATTTATTTTTTTGCTGCCTGGATCATAAGCATGCAAATGGTAAGTGTAAAATACAGCAATCTTCTCTCATTCAGATGTGTTCAGTTACTTATGTCTCAAAAGAAATTCTTAAAGCAAATGTCATACAGTATTTGTTGGTACTAGATGGCCTTCAAAGAGGTAGACATCAATTATTTTTACTTAACGATGCTTATTATTTGATAAGAGTTATATATTAGCAATCTATAACTTTGCATTCTTCTCAAGAAAAACCTGAAAGGGCAACTGGGATAATTATATAGATACTTACACCTTGCTAAAATTTGTGTAATTTATGTTCTAAATGAACATATATTTCTTGTCATGATGTCCTTATTCCAACAAAAATGTATATTAAATCTATCAGTGAGCTAGTTTCTTATATTTTATCCAGTAAGCTTTTGAAAGGCTATGCTTCTTAAAGTAGCATTTAGGTCTATTTGTGTTGAGGATTTTAATGTCTCATAAAACTGATTTAGTTGCATGATTTAGTAATTCAAAAGTAATTTTTTCACCTCAGCATATCAATGTAGTAGTCATATAGGGAGATAATTTGGAATTAATATTTTGAGTGACTTTTGAAATATAACAGTTGCATTTTTATCTGCAAGAAATACATCTTCTAAATTTTAAATTCTACTTAACCATATAAATTAAATGATGTTTAAAAGGGGTTGGGCTAAATTTTATTTAGATCCTCCAAATTTTAAATATAATCAATTTTAGCATTGACTATTAAGGAAAGCATGTTGTTATTTTTGCAATATTCCCAATTCTGGAGTGAGATTTTTTTTAGGAGTATTTCAATTGTGTAACTTTTAATCTACTTAAGTTCTCTTGTCAAGTGCTATATAGCATACTTCTTATGTTTAGTAACAATATCTATTGTAGGTAATGTGCAGAGCCAGGAATATCATAAAATGAAGCCAGACAGAGTTGAGAACACCTCATTGCTAGTTGATTTTGACTCATAGTGAACCTGTGAACAGAGTAGAATCACACCACCCCCACCACCACCACCCCGCCGTGGGCTACCTTGGGACTGTAAATCTCTATAGGAGCAGAGAACCTCATCTTTTTCCAGAGGAGCAACTGTTGGGTTTGAACTGCTGACCTTAGGTTAGCACCACAGCTCATAACCTACTTTGCCACCAGGGCTTTTTCAAAGGTTCAGAACTAGAACCAAACTCACTGCCATCCCATCAGTTCTGGCTCATAGCAGCACTAGAGTAGAGGGTAGAACTGCCTCTGTGGGTTTCTGAGACAAACTCCTTACCGGAGTAGAAAGCCTCAACTTTTTCCTCACACAAAGGGTGTCTCAGATTCTAAAAGTCTCTTATGAACTACATCTTTGGCCATAATTCAGGAGGCTATGCCTTTCAGAGTGCCAGGTGGCCCTGCTCATGGAAATGACATCATGTCTAGAGTAGTACAGGACTCAGTCCTGAGGAAGACAGAAACCATCATCAGACAGCTTGTCCCCACTTTCCCTCACCCTAGGGTTAAGTCATGAATCATTTTCAGAAAAGTACCTGCTTTTTTGTTGTTGTGAAGAATACACACAGCAAAACACCTATTCAACCATCTCTACGGCTTCAGTTCAGTAACATTGATTACTGTCTTCAAGTTACCATTCTCATCTCCTTTTCTTAGTTATTCTAACTCTGTTTACATAAGCTCATTGCCCCTTAAGGTTCCCAGCTTGTTTTCTGAGTTGCTGTGGTCACTTTGCTCCTATACCAATAGTTGTTAAAGGAGTGTAATGCTAACAGCAGACTTTTGTCACTTGTTCAGCTAAACTACTGCTGGACTTTAAGAACAATTCCAGGATATCTGGGGTTTGATGTTTGAAGATGTCAGAGTAAGAAAAGTACTTAATTTGGAAATACAGGAATGGCATACCTTAAGCTATAAGCAAAGTAAAATTAAAGAGCACAATCAGAAGAAAATTTTAAAGCCTGTGTTTTTCTGTTTATTAGTACTTTAGAAGGATAAAAATGACTAGGACTTGACATCTGTTAAGTCAAAGTTAAGAACCTTAGTCCAGAGAGAACTTGTTGAACATGAGGTATCCGCATTCTGTTCTTCAGTTCCCTACAAGCCATTGCATTTCTAGCAGGTGCACAGCAGAGTCCAGCAGCACAAATGAATACTCCTGCCGCACCCGAGATGGCTGAGATGCTCTCCGTTGTTGAGAAGACCTATGGCAGCAAGAGCACAAACACAGATTCCTCCTGATTTGCGAGATAGATCTATAGCTTGTTTCTTAAACTGCCACAACACAGTAATGCCTATCAAATTATCTTTGACCCTTTAATCAAAGGTATGCATGAAACACCACCCTGACCCAGGTGGGCAAAGTATATAGGCCTAACTTCAATAGCTCCTAAGAGCACAGTGTTGTTTACTCTCAAGAAGTAACTAAGAGCTTACTGGCAAATGAATTAAAAACAAAACATTTTTTTCTCTTCTTTCCTTAAACAAAATACTTCTGTGATAAACTCCAAACCCCATTTGTGAGGTGGGGAGGAATTTTATTGGTTAAGTGCATAAACCATAGCCCTGAGTGTACTTATATTCTCAGAATATCAAAAGGTTCAGAATGTGCAGTATCCCCAGCTTAGTCATTACTTTGAAGGAAAGTCAGAACCTTTATATAAATGCATATTTACAGAAATCCTATGTAAACTTCTGTTGCTGTTTGATTTTTTTCCCCATGAGTTTATATGGGATAAAACTAAAAACACCAGATCCCTTCGACAGCTCGTGGTCACACATGCTGTTGTGCTTCTTCCATGTGGGCTTTGT